CCAACTTTGTTTTCCGGTAGTAATCCATTTCCTGGCTTCACGCCGGTCACGTCCGCTTGTCGCGATGGGAGCAATATAGCGACAAACAAACAGCCGGATATAGACACACTAGTAGCTCATAAAGTCATTGAGAAAAGAAAAAAAAAAAAAAAAAGGCCATGCAGCTGCCAGCTTGTCCAGGACATTGACAGCTCGTCCAGGACATTGACAGCTCGTACTCTGGCTGTGGGGTTCAGGTTGCTGGTTGCCAATGTTAATCCAAAAACGCGGTTATACTGAGCAGTGAGCAATGCTGCGCTCGAGTCTTTATTTGTTTTAGGAAATGGAGCAAACAGGAAAGAAAACGCATCTCCCTGTGGAGATGAAGAGTTGTTTGCCAAAAAACAAAAACCTTTTTTTTCCCACCTCTGGTGATAAGTACAAATAAAAAGTAAAAGGATGTGTGTGTAGGTGTAGTTTTTAAATTCTGAATCTCACCTATCTGGCAGGTCTTTCCCTCCCACTGTGGAGGGCACACACACTCAAAGCCATCCTCCAGGTCAATGCAGGTTCCACCCTGAGCACATGGGCTGGAGGCACACTCGTCCAAATCTGAGAAAACACACACTTTAATTCACTCTTATGCCACATTTGAAGGGTGTAAGACTTTGGGCTTCAATTGGTAAAAGAAGACAAGAAGGAGAGAAGTGACAGGTAAGAGATGAGAGGATTGATTGTCGTAGAGGGTCTCAATTAATTAGTAGGTAATGCTGAAATGGTTGTAATATCCCAAAAAGTGGTCAATAGGGAAGAGAGGAAGAATTATGTAATGCTGATGGAAGAGAGGACAAAGAAGTGGAGATGATTGACAGCAGTGCAGCGACTCACTGTTGGCACAGGTCTGACCCTCCCAGCCTGGAGGACACAGGCACTCGAACCCTGTGGGAACCTCGTGGCACGTACCACCGTTGGCGCAAGGACTGGAAACACAGGCGTGCTCGGCTGATGTAGAGGAGGGGGTTGTGGTCAAAAAACAAAACAACATTATATATGGCATCATTTGCTACATGCTGTATCTTATCCTCACATTACTAGCATATATGTTTTCCCTTCTTCCTTTTCACTTCTATATCTGTATTTACTTAAACTGCTAGTGCTGTAACTGAGGATTATTTCTATTGTTGACTAATCGGCAGATTATATTCTGTACAAAATGTAAAAAATGTTGATACTACATACTTTCTCAAAGACTTCTAAAATACTTAAAAACTTCTTGAAATAGCTCGTTTTATTCAAACAACAGACCAAAACCCAAAGATTTATAGTTTACAATCATATATAAACAAAGAAAAGCAACAAATAATTTCAAATAATTTTTTTTTTTCTTGCAGCCTCCTAATTATCCCACAGGAGTTATAATCTTAATGAACGTGACAGAACAAAGGGAATGAAGCTGACAGAGAAAAATGTGAAATATTGTACATGACAGAAGGCCCATCTTGATTGAACAAAAAACAGTAAGTGTGGGTTCTCTCTCACCTATCTGACAGGTCTTGCCGGAGTATCCCTGTGGACAGGCGCAGAAGTACTCATCTGGTTCGGTATTCATGCAGGTTCCTCCGTTGACACAAGGCTGGTGGCGCCCGCAGTAATTCAGATCTGGAGGCAGGCACACCGAGACATTCAGTGACCAAATGAAGGCACATTTCCAAATTAGATTGAAAAGGACCAGCACAACATGAATCCTCCCTGGATTCTCTGCAATGAGGAAACTGCCTCCTAACTCTAGCATATACCCCCTCGTCTATGCATCGTGATGCTAAATATGCAGCTTTCTCTTCCCACAGACAACACAAATACTGTGATTGTTACTTATTGTGTGATATATTTATATCGATGTTTCTGTGAACTGAACGTTGTTGCACCAAAAGCAGTTGTGGAGAATCAAAAATGCTCAGGTTTCCATCCAAATTTGCACCAAGATGATGTAATTAAATGACAGACTTGAAACGATGCGGAGAACATGATAGAAATACGGCATTTATGTTCGTTATGACTGCTTATCGTTATTTTAATGTCATTCAATAAACTACCGATTCCTATGGCAAAGCACGGGCAACACTGCGATCTTGCTGCGTAAGCATATTTTGAAACGGGACGTCAACGGTCATTGGAGAAAACTTTCAATGTCAGTCACATCTGTGCCTTCAGACTTTAATTGGATTGACCCTGTGAGACAGCTCTTTGCTTGTTTCACCGTTTGATCCTGTTGGTGCCAGGAGTTCCCTGGAAGCTTGTAGGAAATCTTCACTCGGTACAGAGCACCAGCTGTCAGCTTTGACAGGAAGCACAGAGTGTTTTCTCAACCACTCTGCTGCACTGCATTATGATAGAGGTTTTACAGTATTTACAGGATTCAGCTAAGTGGTTAAGTTGCAGCTATCATTCAGCGATAGACTCCTATGTATGTAGAGTTTGTTGTATATTACATGTGTTGTACATTTCCACGTACAGAATAAACTATTTGATCCCTGCACACCATCCCCAGGCTAAAGGCCAGGTCAACCTAAAGGCTGGTAAATAAAAGAGCAGGGATCTGTCTCCACTGGGGATCTTGGGACCCATTCTCATCCCCCGAAGAGCCCTCGGTGACGAAGGGATGCGGGGGGATCGAGTGTCCCTGCTGCTGCTCAGATCTCACAGGGAGTAAAACTATCCAGCTGCTGCTCTCCAGTCAGAGAAAACGAGAGGAGTTAAAACAATTCAGACCTCATATGAAGGTGTGATAATTGGACACATTAAAACTAAATAAAGCTAATCAAATACTAAACTATTGCTTTATTTTAATAAATCTCACGTGTCTGTAAGATCTTGTCGTGTTTATTCCAGTTTGCAAAGCAACATAATGCCTGAAATATATAAAGTCACCTGTAGGGCTGCAGTTCACAATTATTATCATTCTCCATAATTCTGAAGATTAATTGTTTGATTGACAACTGAAAGACAGAACACAAAGTGAACACAAATTCACCATAAGAACCAAAAATGTAGCGTTTCCTTTGGTGTGAAATTTTGCTGCTGTTGCTCTATCAACCTCTGAGAATGAGCTTTGAGTGACATACAATTATAAACATTTAACAAGTGAATATACCTCTACTGCGCTTTAAAGTGGCAAAAACTTATTTCAAGGTACATAAATATCAATTGCTTTCCAGATTTTTACCAGAGACCAGCTATGATAGAGGAGCATTACTCTTTCACATAGTGATATGTTGCGTCTTCTAAAGTAACTTCTGTTGCATCTCTTGCTCACTCGTTACTCATCAAATACAGGCAACCGTAGCTTGAGGGGACGTGCAGGATGAGAGCGGGGCCAGCGTCTAGTGTGGGAGGTGATGAAATAAAAAAATAAATATACCAAACAAATACCTTTATCACACAGCAGCCCACCCCAGTTCCTCTCGCAGTTGCACTGCCATGGCATGCTGCAGGTCCCGTGGACACATCCAGGGTAGAGCACACATTCATCACAGAATTGGCCCTGCCAGCCATAGCTACACCTGTCAAACACAGAGGATAAAACACAATTATAAATCATTTTCTCACCATCTAATCCTTATTCTAAAACACTAGCTCAGGGCTAGTTTGTCAAAATCAAATGCATTGAAGTTGTTTAATGCATGCTAACAGTAATTATAAAGTCTGTGCGATGGTTCCGATCCACTGAGCTGCTAAAAGGTGTAAAAGGGGCAAAGAGAGTCTACTAGTGGCTGAATCGAGCCGTCGGATGCAACCTGCTCAAAAGTGGGAACATATATAATACTGTATCTGCTCTTGCGTCAACCTATCCCACGGCCTCCAGCCAACTTATCTTGGTGGAGGGTGACATTCCAGGGCAGGAGGGGTTAAGAATACTTCCAGCGGCTCCCGTGCTCGGGTTAGAGTCTGGGGCTGAGGGCTACGAGGGTGGCACAGTGGTCCTGAGGGCGAGTGGCTGGAGAAGACTGTGTGTTTGTGTGTGTATACAGTGTATGTGTGTGCACACGCCTGCAGCTTCATGACAGCGCTCGGCTATTCCAAGGCTGTGGTGTCGTCGAGCCAGCTGTCTTGTCAATTGACTGCTATTTTGAGTCTCCTGCAGACGGCACCGCTGTCTCTCCGAGAGACGAGGGCCTTCGGAAATCTCTGCCATTCTCAGGCTTGCAGGGGGGGCAGAAGGGGCATTGGGGAATACTTGGCATGCTTCTTCCACTGTATATGATTAGCTTCAGAGGGTTTGACAGCGATGTAGCAATAACACTAACAGAACTCTGGCAAAGAGACTTGCTTACTGCTTTTAAAGCTCGAAGGTATCAAAAGAGGCTTTCTGTGGTTTAATTCTTGGCCATATTGATATCACGATTACTCATCAACCCCTTACGGGTGTAGGCGTGATGTTGGATTCCAACATGTTGGAATGTCAAAACAAAACCTTCAGAGTGGTGGAAAATGTGTTACATTGCTTACCCAAGTGATCCTTGGGACACGGCAAGACTTTGACAAATATGTCAGAACAAGCCTAATGTGTGCTAATAAAAAGCCTCAATGCAGCAGCGTAACAACAGGCACGTACCAGCTTTTGTGTTTCTTAAAAGCCTGTGGCAAACGGGGCGAAGCCCATAAAACTGATGAATTAAAGGGAATGAAAGGAGACTGCGAGGGATTTAATGCCAGCTTTCTGTGACCGGAGGCTTCATTAAATTCATGCCACTGCAGGAAGATTCTTTACTGCTGCTCTTCTATTCATGTCACTTTTCCTATTGACTGGGACTTGACATTTCTAAAGAATAAGGTGCTTCCCCAGGTTGTCTGCCTGCTAACTGGAATGAAGATGCAGCCTAATGGTCCAGACAGACACGAAAAAATGCGAAGCAGTTTCCTAAAACTGGTCATACCCTGTTATTCCTCAGCTCCGAGCCAAAGCCTTTTTTACTTATAATGAGAGGCAAGTGTCTCTTTCTATCTGGCAGGTGGGAGAGGGGGTTTACAAATGATAACGGGATGTAGCACATCCTGGAAATGTGGACCTATGGGGCCATTCTACGTCACTTTATCTAACTATCATTTCCACTTTGGGAAATGTACATAACACAGTGTGATATTCATTTCCTTTCCTGCCCCTTGCCCTTCAAGTAGGACTGCAATGCGGATGGGGAGGGGATATGACAATTCCCAGCACGTTTACAGTGGTCAAATTCACACACCAACAACTCCCTTTCTTTGGTCCAAGCTGCAGAGGGCTGAGATGCTTGGTATTCTGTGGAGGATTTCAGGTGGCTAAAAATACAAGAAGGCAGGCAGCGTTGCCCTTTTCTTCTGAACTGAAGTGGAGATGCCCACGAGGGAAGAACAAGGCTGACACGAAACACAACAGCCTAAGACAAGTGAAGGTGCCTCCGTTTGGCAATCATTTTTTTGTCTTTCGCACATTGAGCTTGACTACCGGTCTAATTTTGAAGTCTAACACTACTGCAGTTACCTTTTCAGTTGTTACAGAAACCACTTCTCTACTACAAACAGGCGAAGCTAAAGAAATGCATGCACGATATGATTTAAACCCAAAGCAACAGAAATGGAAACTGTTGCCTCGATAATAGCAGTACCAAAAGAAACAAAGATCCTGAAGAAAAAATTTCTCAACAGTCACATTTCTGAATATGAAAGGGATATTTATGCTGATCTTACTTGCATTCCCCTGGGACAGAGCAGCTGCCATGTAACAAGTTGCAGCCCTGCTTGCAGATTGCTGAGAAAAGGAAAGAAGACAGAGACACATTTAAAAGGTGATATTTAAATTTGATTAGAAGACATGTATCATTACATTTGTTCTCATAAAAACACATTGTTCTTTAAGAAAGAGGGCGAGAGAGAAGTGGCGGGTAAGAAGGGAGGCAACAAAATGAAAAGGTGGGAGGAGGAGAGGCTTGTTTGTTTGCCATCTTTCTAACAAGTGCAACAAGACGTGAGAATTCATGGCACCCTGACCAGGGTTGGGGGGCAAGGAAGGGACAACTTTATAGCCTGCATGTACAACACTACCCCCCCTCTTAAAAACAACCGAGCCCCTCTCCCCTCCTCTTTTCACCCTTCGTCTTCTAAGGTCAGTTGGGTGATTTATTGAGGCCCCCCACTCTCTCTGACGCCACCCACAAATACGAACCCAACGCTGCAACATTTTAACATAAGCAGGCAGCCAACGCTGCATTTCCACCAGGCATTTTAAATGGTGCTTGGACAATGACTTTACTTGATGCATATGCAGTTCATCAGATTACACGCTTAATTTAAACTTTTATAACATAATCTTCTACTTAAAATAGAATAGAATAAAAATAATCTGAGCATTTACAGAGTTGAAAGATAGGGCAACAGCTAATGCTAGTTGTAATTAGATAATCTACTGATTGTTTTTAAATTAATTGCCAAATTTCAAAGTCTTTAAATGAGTCCATGGTGACAATTTGAATCAATAAAAGTCCAAAAGCAGCAAATCTTCCCGTTTGAGATGCAAGATTCCGCAAATGTTTGGCTTGATAAATGATGATTACCCAATTATCAAAATCGTTCTTGTTCTTACATTTCATTTGACTATTAAATAAACCATGTGAGAAATAATTAAGTTAAAATTTCCAAAAGCCCAAGGTGATTTTAGATTTCTTTTTGACCAAAAGTCCAGAACCAAAAGATAATCTATCACATAAAAAGCATAAAACCCTCACATTTGAGAAGGTGGAACCAGCAAATGTTTGGCATCTCAATTAATCAATTCTTCAATCAAAAATCATTTTGTTTATTAATTCACTGATTATCCATGAAGCTCTAAAAAGAATATCAGTTGGGTCAAAGTAACATCTTTTCATGATGCTTGAGTGCATAGTGCGTTGTGGGATGAGCTTGGCGGATTTAACTGTTTTTATGAACTTCTACAGTTTCTAAGGGGAACCAAGTCTAGGACATTTGCCAAGACGCTGGCAGCTTACCTGTCCTGCAGTCTGTGCCCATCCAGCCATCCAGGCACACCTGGGCCCCAGAGGGCTCGCAGCGGTAGTGGCCAAAGTAGTCGTCACGAGGAACACACAGCTTATTGCACTTGTTGCTGTAGTAGTTCTCATCACAGCGGACTCGGATACGGTAGATGAGGCGAGCCACCGGCCCGTCGTACGGGATGGTCTGCCAGGGGTCACCGGGGTTGATCATACCAGTGTGAATGCTGCGTTCAATCAGCAGCTCCTCCTCATCTGAAAAAAAGAGACAGGTGAAGACAAATCAGTCAGTGTCTAGTTGTGAATATTTTGTTCTGATTTGACCGCAGAAACATGTAAATGAACATTTAAAATATCCCCTCCATCTTCGAATAGTGATCACGTGTCAATGCTACGTTCACAATCCATTACCGCTGCCGCCAAGTGGCCAAAAGAAATCAGTTATCGTGGGTTTACTTAGTGTAACTTTTGCTCCGGCCGTCCTCTTTTTACTAAATTGATCGAGTGAGTCAAGGTGAGTCAAATCAGGATCTGGATGGTAGCATTTATATACAACTGCAGTTTTTTCAGTCTTCTCCAAAAGTCAAAAAACAGTAAAACAGAACAACTGCATTTAGTAAGAGGATTAAAAAGGTGTTATTTTAAACACCAACATCAGACAACGATATGGAATCTCCTTTATTCTGATATAAAGTCCCTCCATAAAGCATTGAATTCTTACTGAGCAGACAGACGCTTTGATATCACATTGTGTGTTCGTTTGTGTGTGTGTG